AATTAATAACAGAAGCGCGATCGCGTACAAAGAGATAAAAAAAATAACAATAACGTAATACTCTGGTGTGCTGTAATCCTCGTATATATAGGCGTACAAAAGAGAGAAAAAAAAGCTGCTTTGGCTCCCGGACGCGCCTAATACTCGTTAAATCGAAAAGTTTCGAGGGCATTGTTTACTCAAAGTAGGCACACGCGCGTGATCCGCTTCAAAGTTTCAAATGAAGCGTGAAATTCGCCCCTCGATCGCCCCCCCCCCCTTTGTAAAATCTTTTCCGTGCGCGAGGGGGTTCGCACGAGAGGCAGTGCTTGCTTTTTTTTCATTCTTTTAAATTCTAAAAAATCAATACGAGTACGCTTGGGCCAAAAAATATAGGACAGCGGGCCTGTGAGTCCGATCGCGCGTGGGTATATGGTACAAGCGTGCCGGGGAGCGGTGGCTGTTAATCGAGTCCTGCGTGACGCACCGAAATCTTTTTTAAGTGTTATTCCCTCGGCAGAGCTATATACCTATGTACCGATGGTTTTCTGCTTTCAATGCAAAGTGAGATTATATTGATGCTATTTATATCATGAGAAAATTAAAATTACGCCCACCAACGATCTTATTCTTCTTTACCACGACAGATTCATCACATTTGTTGGAAAACATAACCGGCAATTTGAAAATAAAAAAAAAAATTAGCATTATCTATCATCGACGAATATATAAGTGTTAAGGTAAGAGTATACCCAACAACAATAATCGAGTCATTCATCCCATTGTCAGACTCGAGCCACACTTTACCAAAGGTATCGCCCGATTTCACTGTCCCCTCGTCAAATTTCAATACAAAATAGAACTCCCCTCGTTCTCCTTTTACGATGTATCGATAAAAATACAAGCTCGAAACAAACAATCAATCAATAACCCAAAAGGGGGCCCATAAAATTCCGAGCGCCCTCGTACGCGTATTCGGCATAAATCAGCGCGCGAAATTTCCGAGCGCGATTTCTCTGTGCTGTGTATAGCCGGTCTATGAGTATAATACACAAATGTGTCCCTCCTCTCTTTGGCGCGCTTGTATAATTCAGGGGACAAGCGGACAGGTAGCCTATCCTGCAGACACGGTCGTGTGGGTATATCATAGCACCGACAAACAGCAACACAATGCCCATTCGACTGCGTGTGGCAGTACACCTCTGAACGGGGGAAAAAAAAAAAAGAACATACATACATAATAAATATACCCACAAAAATAAATAGTGACGAGCTTTTGTATACATGCCCTGTACACACTCACAGCGCCCACACGCTCTGTCGGGCTGCTCTGCGATCTCGCACCTGCGAAACCAGCTTTTGTATTCTCTCTCTCGCACCTTTCGCGCGTGTGTACAATACATCGGTCGTGCGATTGATTTACCGGGGCATATGAATATAACATTCGAGAGCTGTACAATGCTTTTTTTTTTTTTTTTCATCACTTTGGCTTTCCGATACTTTTCAAAGATCGGTACTTTGACCTATCTGTATACCTATGTACACTTCGAATACCGGTAATTGAGCTTTAATTTTGTGCAGACAATAACAACAATGATAAAACAAAAGGGGTTGTCGACCCGCGAGTATTGTATACTTAAATATTTCACGTTTCGAGTATAGCAACATCCGCACCTCTTTCTTAATTCCTCGCACGCGCGGGGAGGGCCCCGTGTGTAGTATACGACCCACTGCCTGTCCCCTCGGCTACAAAGTACACTCTGTGCTATTTGACAAAATGTATGCGTACACGCGTGCGAAAATATACACGATACACCTGTGCAGAAGCACTTTCATCTTTGCGCCCAACTGACGAGAAAAAGAGGACTGACCGTACACTGTACGTGAAGTACATTCGAGGAAAGAGAGAAAAATGGGCGTGGACTGCGGCCAAAAAACGCTGTAATTAATTTGGACTTTCTTTCTTACGCAGACAGGGGGATGGAAATGGTTAATATTCACCAGTACAGCTGCCTGGGACCGTTATGATGATGTTTTTTTTCCGAAGGAGAGGGTTAATTTTATTCGTCGTTCTGATATTTCTGACAATGAGTCATCCCCTCGATGTGAACGATGATTCCGGCGAAGCGCTCGAGATGCCCCGCCAAGTTACAGTACTTTTAATACACGGAATCGTACACCCCATGGCCCTTTGTTCCCCGTCCACACTGGCACTGTCGATTAATCGTTCAATCAGGCCCAATGTATGACGCTGATTTTCAACAATGCGTACAACCAGGGGAACGATGTAGGTATAAGACTTTGCTCTCGAGGCAGCCCTCCCCACCCCTCCTTCCTGTTGAAGAAGAGGAGGAAAAAAAAAAATCCAGCCGATCCCTGCGAGTATGGCCAAGGAAGTTGGTCGCAGGGAGTTTATCGAGATATGGTGTAATTGGTCGAGAGCGAGGGAAGGAGCGTGATTTCTCAGGGCCCCGGGAGCGCGGCTCGGGTGTAAAACGGTTATTAGCCCTATACTCGTATATATACGGTGGAGCGCGGCGAAACTCCTTAAATCAAGAGGACGGCCGATGGGCCGTGCCTATATAAGCTAAACGCGAGCGCTATACGAGAGTGTATATTATAAGCGAACGAGGGGCGGAGAGCGCGGCCACATATGTATATACACCCCTACGAGATTGTACGTACAATATATAAATGTGTATATGTGTATAGATAAGTGTACACTTAGGCTCGCGCGTTGCATCGTGGGGGGAGGCTGATGGCGAGCGAGCCAAGAAAAGAGAATATTATACGCGCCGAAGCGGGCAAGCAGCAACTACTCTAATTGGCCACTTTGTCCATTTATTCGATTTATTTAAATTATGGGACAATTGACAGTAGGCATTCTATTTCTTTTTTCTCTCTTTTTTTTTTTTCTCTTTCCCCCCCCCCCCCCCGGGCATAGTATAGATACAACATGCACACGCGTTGGTACACATGCGAGGTTCTGCTCCACCGCTACGCGGTCTCTCTGCGGCAGCAGTGTGTATAGAAGCGACGACTGATTGGGCGAGATTGGCGTGAGACACTGGCCCCACAGATTCCCCAGTTGTGGGCTTAATCAGCTCTGATTGCTCCTCCGCCGTCGCTCTTTCTGACCCCTCCCTCTCCGCGCTCGTCTCTCGCGGGTCTCTTTGTATACTCCTCCTCTTCTCTCTCTTTTCGTCGCGCCCGGCTCCCTCCCCTCTTTTACATCGTCTTTAGGCTCTTTAGGATGGTTTTTTTTTTTTTTTTTTTTTTTTCATCGTGCACATGTTGGTGCATCGGCGTAACAGAAACGCGAGAGATTTTACGAGTACTGGAACCCTCTCCCGTTTCCCGCTGGCATACACACACACATGGGTACGAAGGTTGGCGCGTCGGTATCGTCGATATCGCGATATTGGGGTTACAACAATCGTGTAGCATTTTAGGATTTTGTTTGCAATTCATTACCAACTACTTTCGACTCTGCTGGGATACGGTGGTTTTGTTGGAGTGAATCGGTGACTCTATGAAATAATAAGGGCAGATTTTTTTGCCCCCTTCGGGGGAGGAACGGTAATAATCAATTTCACGAGTGGGTGAATCGGCAGATTTTTCGGCGTCATTAGAGGGCGCCTCGGCGATCCTTACCCTTTTCTTCGCGGCCGGCCGCCGATTGATTGCCTCTTTTTTTGTTGTTGTTGTTGTTGTTTTGTTCTCGTGACTCTCGTATTTTTCCCTTTTACATTCTTTTCTCCCCCTTGCTATTCCTTTTTCACGATTTCCAGGTCCGTCCCGCGCAAATAGCAGCACCCAATGTTTTGAAGCGATGAAAAAAAAATTAAAGAAGATAATCCACGGTATGGGCGCCAAATTGAATAAAAGATACGCACGTGTCGGCCCTCGTGAATCCGAGGAGAGCTACGCGCACAAAGTCACTCGATAAAATCCAGTCAATTTTTTTTTTTTTTTTTTCCCCCCGTGCGAGTACACATACACTTTTTCCCCGTTCGCGCTGCGTCGACGAGCAAATAAAAGCCCACTACGCGTGTATACGCCGTAAGGGCACTCATCCCATTTCCTCGATAATTCCCATAATGCTGTGGGCGGATATTCCAATAAAGTGTAGAGGGGCAGCGGATAGACAATGTTGTGCGCGCGTGTGGGACCATACCGTGTATAGTGCACGGACATCATATACGAAACGCTGAAAAAATAGGGAGACGACTCGATAGTGGATATTTTATATGTGCCGTGATCAGTGCGTGTACTTAATACCCAAAGCTGAGAACGGGCGTTTTTTTTTGTATTTATCCGGTCGAATGAGTCGAGGGATCCGTCCGTGAGGGGCTGGTCGCGCGTGCACTTGTCTGTATACTGTTTTGCGCCCAACTTGTACAAACCAAAGGTTCTTCCCTCATCTTTGACATTTGAGGAGTAATGAAATTTCAAAAGCCATTCCAGCCGATGGTTCGTACACAGAAGCGAATGCAATTTTCGCTCTGCCCGTGTATTTTTCACGACACCGACTTATATATACACGTAGGAGAGAGAGCTCCCCCTCGAAGCTCATACCGGCCGGAAATTTGAAATTCAAATGGCGCGTGTGTATTATATGTACATGTACTCGTTGTGTACACGGTGACGTCTTTTTGGAAAATGAAAAAAAAAATGGGCTGCCTGCCACGCGACGCGTTTGACACGCTCTGGGGTCCTCGGAAGGCTTGGGGAGTCCCGTCTTTTAATTTTTCTCTTGCTTGTTGGCTCGAACGGATTTTTACGGCTTGTCGCGCTAGTCATGAAAAATGCATACCGGTGAGCGTGCAACGTCAATCATACGCGTAATACACGTTTTGGGGCACATCAGGCGTTTCTTTGAGAATAGCCCTAGCTCGTGAGCAACAACTGGAGAGTCGATATTTCAATCGAGGTGTATCGTCCATTGGAGGGCTCTCGTTTAATTGCCCAAGGTATACTCACGCATGATCGGTTGAAAGAGTAAGGAAATAGCGACTCACCGGAAACCTTGGGGTCAGCCGCCTCTACTTTCATCGTTGCCAGGCTCGCTATTGTTGGTGGTACCTAAAAAAGTAAAATGCATTAACCGACATGGCACGTTGTTTTTTTTTTTTTTTTTTTTTTTTTTTTTTTCATTGTCACGTGATCTGCATACGGCTCGCATTTTAGCAAATCAAATGGAGTGCCCGACTCATTGACGGACACCAGTGTATAATACCCACAATGGAGACTCGAGGAAAAAGCACAATTAGATCACAACCGTGTAACGTAATTGTCGTAGCGAATGCGCGCTGTCGGTGACTCACGTTCATTAGGCTTCGATCCCAGAAGACTGATCCCGAATCCCCGTCATGTATATACGAGAAGGAGGGACGCGAAAATTGTTCAAAGTCAGTGGGACACATCAGTCATCGTCCGACAGTTCTTGTACGGGAGCAACGCGAAAAACCAAGCGACATCGGAGCCACGTTTTCGACGGCAAAAACTAACCAGAAATTCCGTCTAGCGCGTGACGTCGACGGGACCGAGTATATTATATACATATAGGGGGGGAAATAACGCAGACGCCGCGGTAGAAATCGTCAGTCGAAGTTTGGCGACGAAGAGAGAGAAAAAAAAAAAAAAAAAAAAAAAGAGCACAAAACAAGAGGAGGGAGCGATTTTATGGTGGTCATCGGAATTCGGCCCGAGCCACCGATTTGGGCGCGCAAAGGTGACCCAGTGTGCCGATGCGGTTTAATTGAAACCTGCCACGATCCGGGGGCCCCTGGACGTGACCGGTATATATACGGCCGAGAAATCACTTTCCTCCCTCTCTCCACTGCTCCACTGTTGTTTCTCTTTCTCTCTTTCCAGTACGGGCTTGCTTTTATTGTTGTTCCTCGTTACTTTGTCAGTACGACTTGTATAACGTACTACACGAGCATATATATATATGTATATACGTAAGATACGGCTTAATGCGAACGAAATGAGTAATTCAGGGTTGAAGATCGCTCGGGGGCCATTATATATTAATTGATAATTTACCGAAGCCAAGGTTTTTCGCGGATTTATTGCGACGATCGGAGTAAACGCGCGGCCTCGTGAAGCCGCACAAGTAAAGGAAGAAAGGTCACCGGCTCGGCGATTTGGTCGAAAAAGTGCATTGTATGCGCAATTTGTAGAGGAGAGAGAGAGAGAGAGAGAGAGTCGAAGAAGCCAACGACCGATTTCCGGTTTTCCGCAAAAAAGCCTTGTCTTGGGAACACATCTTTGCGCTCAACAATGGGCATATTTTGAATATTCAAATGCTTTTTCCGGCGCGGAGGGGAACGCACCGCGGGTAATTAAAATATTCTATTTTCGTGCTACACGCGGTACTTTTAATTGCCAGTGACGAGGTAATTAAAAAAAAAAAATAAAGGGCTTATCTCTTACCTCGGGTACAGAAAATCATTTTCAACGATCCGAGGGCGATGTAAAAGTGGGCGTTCATTTTAATCGGGGCATAATTTTTCGCAACCTCATCGCGGAACGGTGTGGTGGCCGATTTTTCATAAACTCAGACGCGTGACATCGCTGTTCTCTCTCTCTTGCGAGCGAGTAAATTATAGTATAGTGAGGAAAAAATGAAAAAAAAAAAAAAAAAATAACTCGAGCACAGTGAGAAGTTAAAACCATCGCTGGCAACATCGCGCCGGATCAGAACGGGAAAGAGAGAAGCCCCTCGCGGTGCGGTCAAATTATTCCGAATCCTGTACGATTTCCGAAGCCCTATATAGCCAAGCAAACGACGACGGAGACTTTGGCTGAATTTATATAAAGTCGTTACCACATCGGCTCTGGCATTATTATATATCCAACCCTTTTACTTTCAACCCCTGCGTGTTTCTCGTGCTTTTTCCCTTGGTCGACTTCTTATTCCTTAAATTGAGTTCAGGGCCCGTCACCCTTTTAATTTCATTTATTTCACTTGAGAACCGATTACATTCGGGTGTGCAGGAAATAATAAAAAAAAAAGAAAAAAAAATTTGATTGTCAGCACTGACATGAAACACATTTTAAAAAATGTTTGTGCTACACAGTTGTTCAGTAAGCAGGGGAGCAACGGCCGCATGCACGTATACATATACTATGCCAAACGACGAGATGACGAAATGAGCTACTATTATAATATACACATACACACACACATAGTAGCATGAGTATATATAGTACGATGGCGGCGGTCCGGCAAATACAATTAGTGCTCGAAGAGACCACAGTGAGTGTATATAGTCCCTCCCATTGCAGCTTCTCTTGGTGCGCCCCCCTCGACCCCCCCCCCCCGAGGGGGGGCCGTATATACCCTCCAGATCATCAATTAACGTTTTCGCGGTAATATGAGCATTGTCCCCTTCCCTCGTGCATATAATACGAATTTTTCCTTACCGAGCGGCAACTTCATATACATATGGTATAATAAATATACACTCGTATACGCAGAAACGCGCGCCTCGGGCTTTAATTGAGGCCATATTGTATGCCCTCTTTTCCCGCCACAAACGTACATATAATATGTATACACAGTGAAAAAAAGAGAGAGAGAGAAAGCTTTTTTTCTCAACTACTTTAACGTAATAACGAACAAAAATGTATGATGAATAGCGAATTGTGCCGGCCGCTATGGTTTAGCCGTGCTTTCTGCCCAACCATGTATATATATACATATAAAACTGCGGGTAAGTAAGTAAGTATATACATGGTAGAGGTTCGATTGGCCGATTCACTTTCCGCTTACGTGTTCATTCTCCGTACAATGGCCGTTAACAAGGATTTCCTGGAAGCTCTCCGCGGGCCTTCTGTCTCCGTTGCCTATACTCTCTCTTTCTCTCGAGTCCCATCCCTGTATGTGTGTGCGTGTAATTATTATTATACGCGTGTATCCCCGTATAGGTACTCTGCGTAATGAGTGTATGCATGCGCCGAGGCGATTCGGTAAAAAGTCAGCCAAACCGAGACGAGAAAAGGAGAGGGTCAGTAAATAGACGTTGATGTGGGGGGAAAAGGGGGTCTGACGTCTCTGTTTCCGCGCCATAGTAGTGGCGACGGCTCTTCCCTATCAACCTCTCGGATGATATAGTTTCTTATCAGCAACTCGACAACCCTTGGATATCACGCCATGATACTCTGCTAGTGATCCTTGACGATTCTGTGTCAAGCAATCAATCCACCGCACAACGTTAGCGATGTTTCAGGAGATTTCACAGAGATACTGTGCGTGATGATCTTGCTCTAGTGGACTGGGGTTCAATTATCGAGGCGCCCACTGTCGATGCAAAGGTTGAATTGTTTTCCCGTACTCGGCTGTCCGTGCTTGACAAACATGCTCCGTACTGTGTTATCAGGCACACTAATAGGCCCTCACCGTGGATGAGTCCGGAAATTACCAGACTCATTCGGTCTATGAATATAGGCGCCTACGCAATCTAGTTAAGCTCACTGTACGAAATGCAAAACACGCGTATTATCGGGATCGACTCAATGCCTGCCGAAACACCACTGACACCTGGAGAGTCATTGATGATCTAGGACTCGCCAAAAGTAAGAAGAGCTCACAGCCGCCACCTGGCTCGCCTACAACAGTCAACAAATTTTTCGTGGGACATGATGATCCTGTTTCTTTGCATGATTTGCGACCCTCTGCACGTATTTCGCCGGACGACAGGTTCTACTTCAAACTGATAGGTTATAAGGAGGTATGTGAGGCTATTGTATCCTCACGCTCCAACGCCTCTGGACCTGATGGCCTTTCATTGAGCTTCATCAAAACATGCATGCCCATTATTTTACCAGTAATCTTAGACATATTTAATGCTTCTTTGCAGACTGGAGTTTTTCCTACTGCCTGGAAAAGGGCTATTGTTCTTGCTGTGCCTAAGAAATACCCTGGACTTACTGTTGATGTCTTTCGGCATATCAGCATTCTTTGTACTACCAGTAAACTCCTCGAGGCTGTAGCCTACAAGCAAATGATTGCCTATATTGAAACGAACTCTCTACTGAGTAGATGTCAATCTGGATTTCGCAAGCATCACAGCACTAGTACTGCGCTTACAAAAATTGTCGATGATATACGACTGTCTATGGACCATAGACAAGTCACACTCCTGGTCTCCATTGACTTCTCTCGTGCTTTTGACCTAGTTAATGTGCAGCTCTTAGTCGAGAAGCTTCGTGCCACCGGCTTTTCGGATATATTTTGCAACTGGATATCTTCTTATCTGACGGATAGAACTCAGATTGTTAGATTTCATGATGGAAGGACGTCCCAGGCTTTGTTTCGTGCGTGTGGTGTGCCACAAGGCAGTATTCTTAGGCCTTTGCTCTTTGCTTTATTTGTCAAGGACTTGCCTGATGTGTGCATGAATGTAAGGACACATCAATATGCTGACGATTTTTGTATTTACGCATCGGGCGAAGTTGGAGATGTTCGCATGATCCTGGAGAGAATCAACAGGGCTCTTCACGCTATTCTGGCCTGGGCAATCAGAAATGGCTTAATCATCAATAATAGTAAAACTAAAGCAGTCTGGTTCGGATCTCGGGGACTACTACGTGCTCTACATGATTTAAACATCCCACCTGTGCTCCTTATGGATCGGACTCCTATTGAATTCTCTGCTGAGATCACATTGCTGGGTGTTACGCTTGATGCTGGGCTCTCCTTGAGGGCCCATTGTGCCTTAGTCTCTGGAAGGTGTTATGGAGCTTTATCACGACTTGGACGATGTGGTGACTGCCTGCCTAAAGTCACTGGGCTATTGCTGGTCAAAGCCTTAGTTTTTCCACATCTTGACTATTGCTCTACCCTCTTCTTGGGACTTATTTCTGCTGAAATGAAACTAAAGCTTAAGCGATGCAAGAATGCTGCTCTGCGCTTTATCGAGAGTACACAAAAGTGGGAACACATAACTCCAGTCTACAAGAAATACTCCATTCTAAGTCTCGAGGGTAGGATTAACTATACGTGGTAATCTGCCTTCTAGCCTCCATTCTACAAACTGGTGCTCCCTCTTACCTTGGTGAGATTTTTCACTACAAGCTTGATCGCACCACATTGGTTACGAGGACTAGTTCTCTTGATCTGGTTGTCCCCTGGGCTCGTACTGAATTGTTTAGAAGCAGTTTTACTGTGGGAGCGGCTAGGCTGTGGAATGAAGTCCCTCCTAATATTCGAGCTAAATATGCTTCCAGCTCGTTTCATGGAGAGCTTTTTGCACACTTCAAGCGACTGGATCCTCGCCTCTCAAACTGACTTTATCTTTATTTTTAAGTGACTCAGTGATCATAACTGCTATGAATCGACACCTTTTACTTGCAGTTATTACTTTGACTTTATTTTTCTCTTAATCTAGTATAATAATTATTAACCTTTAGTTTAATTAACTTATACATTTTTCTATTATATTTTATTTTTTGTTTCGAAGAAGCTATAATAACACTAAGCTGCCTGTACTTAGTTATATATGTTTAGTGCTTGCAAGCACAAGTAGATTCCTCATATTTTGAGCCTTGTATAATGCTTAGGCTATTAAGGACCCTGAGTCCTTAGCCTTAAATAAATTTAATCTTTAATTTTTAATCTCTTCCCCTTCCGTTCCATCGCTCATTCGTAGATCCAACAATGACGGAGGAAGGAGTCCCGCGCCTCCTTGTAACACTGGAAACTTCAGATTGGGGCCGATGAGCTACTTTTTGCTGTCGCTCGATTGACGGATATTGCGTCGTTTGGTAATTCCTCGGACGTACACGCGAAAAAGGCGAGGCTCGAGCTGCGTTGTAATGAGACCCTCCTCCCCCCCCCCCCACTTGAACTTTTTACCGATTGGCCAACCCGCTGATTTGGGGAGTTTTGGGTCGCGAGCTTTATCGGAAAGGGGGGTACTCGTTTTTCTACAAAACTTTGGTCCTTTGTGATCACGACGTGTATGGTACCGGTGAATCCAAAAGCCTGTATTAGACATATTTACCGGCATCATCAAATAACTCGGATTTCCTGTGATACAATGAGTAGTAATATACGACCCTGCGTAAACTCTCGTTACGCCACCCCGACCACGCTTGTATAGATACGTAACAACTAAATCAATCTCCAGGAGAGAGAGAGAGAGAGAGAGAGATAGCGAGCTTTTGCACAAGAAAAAGAACGAGAGAAGCGTGAAGGGGGTGCGAGTGATTGTTTCTCCTTAATTGAAAGCTACGAGCTGCTGCGAGTTGTGCCTGCACGAGTGTACGGAAGATCTCCACTAGCTTCTTCACGGCACGGATAAATTATCTCATTAGACGAGCGCGTGAGGCTTTTTCGTTGCAGATACACCGGCAGGCAGAGAGTCTGTAACTATATGGTAGACGGTGGTTGATTGATTTACGCGGCGTCTGTATTTCACAGCTCGCAGTTTCAAGGAGCCGATCGGAACTCGGACGATTAGAGGGATATGGAAGAGGAAGGTGTGTACCCCCGTGTATGTATATAGAGGATTATTGTGAGCTGCGGGTTTGCACATTCTGATACGTGAAATTCTAGGGGCGGGTTTTATGATTTAGCGAGCTGGTGCAGGGGGGGGGAGGAAACACGAGGATCAGGGAGTTGGAGGAGGACGAGGGAGTCACAAACGCCGAGTGGAGCTTGGTGTGTGTGTGTGTGTATATATATATGAGAAAACAATAGGAGGAGTATACTGCATACTGATTTGCAAACAATAGAATAACGTTAATACGTATGGTGGTGGTGGTGGTAGTGGTGTGGTATTATAAGCGCCCGTTGTTGTATACACTCCCTTCTTCTTTGGTCACTGCTGTGTGGAGGTATATATGTGTGTGCGTGTGCGAGTGCATATGCCCATTAATATTCAAAGGCGAAAAATAATGTAAACGCCGCGGACAAAAATCGGGGGAATAATTTCGATTCTCCGAGTAAGGGATGCAGAGAGAGAGGAGGCCGAACACACGGGGGGACGCGACCGACGTGTATGCGGACTCGGGGCACAAGAATTCTTCATGTGTATGCAATAATATGTAAGGGCCCTCCTCGCCGCGGTCATTCGCGGTCTCTTTCTGCGGGTGTACGTATGCAATATCGCGTGTACCCCCCCCCCCTTTTTTTTCATTTTGTTCCTCTTTTTTTTCCCTTACTCCCTGGTGGTTCTTGATACGTGCACGACTTTTTTGCCGCTACAGTGCGCAGCTGCAAAAGGAGCTTGCGACGCCGGGGACGAAAGTTATTGCCTTTTTATCGACTGTACGACGACTCTTTGCATTTGCGAGGAAACTGTTTGAGTTGCTTTTTTTCCTCCTCATCTCTACCATATACGAGTCGTTCCATTGTCTCGAGGGTGATTTTTTGTTTGGCGTACGAAAGCTCCGAAAAGCCACAATCCGGTGATTAGCTGAAAAGTGAGCTTGTAAGCGGACAATCGTCCTCTCTTAATCGACTTTCTCGACTCTACGGTATACGTAGGCAACCATCCCATTACCATAACAATCAACGACTTATTCTGACCGGCAATTTTTTGTCTCTCTCCAGAAAACTCCTCTCGACAATGGACCATCCTCTCGAAAATGTCACGGCTGAGGTTGCAATTACGGAGCGGCAGTGTGTGTGTGTATGTTTTTTTCAGCTCGTTACGGTACACGCGAAAAAAAAAAAAATAAATAAATGACCCAAACAGCCAAACTAAACACTCCTAATTGCGGCCGGTGTCGCTTGATTTATGGATCTCTTCTCCGCGTTTCGAGGTATTTATTTGCATGATGGGGACTCTTTGAATTTCCAGCCGCGTCACGGGGCAATACATCATTGGGTGCCTACTTTCGGGACACGCGCGTCCAAACTCTGAAAGGAAGTGAAAAATTTCCGCGCGCGACTATGTACACTTGAACGATATACCTATAATAATATAATAAGCGAGTACAAGTTGAGAAAGAAGAGATAACGAGGCGCTTACCCTCGAGTCGTCGTTGTCGTCGGCGCGCCTGGATCCGGAGTACATGACACCACCCATGTGCACCTGTAGGTTCTGTTGGAGTAGTTGAGCCAGCTGGGGACTCTGCGACAGGATGGCCGGGTTGTGCTGGAGGAGCTGGGCGAGGGCGGGGTTCTCCACGAGGATCTGGCTGAGGGGCGAGCCGGTCAGGCTGGGGTGGAGTCCAGCCGCTGCAGCTGCCGCCGCCGCCTGTTGGTGCTGCTGTTGCTGGACGCTGGGCGAGCCGGAGTTCGACGCCCGCGAGGACGAGAGGTTCGCCGCGCCGCTGTTTTGCCGCGAGGGGCTCTGCGGGGTGTGCGGTGGCGTCGGGGGACTCCCGGGCGCCATCGACGACGCCTCCTTGTTCTCTTCCTTCACCTTGACTCGGTTGCCTGCGAACAGAAGGACAACCGTGGAATTTTCATTGCTTGATCACAGCTGCTGTAGACAATCGGTGGCTTATTTCATCCGGGGCACAACATTTTATCTACAACCTGTTTTTCATTACCCACTGCTGCGAGGATAAATTTGTTTGCGTTTTTCGAGGGTTGAAAAATCGCCCAATCTATTCGGGCGAGTTGGAAAACGAGTTTTAGGCGTTAAGTATGACTTTCCCTGCGAGAACGGTCAAATGACCATTAACTGAAATGCTTTTACATGACCTCGTGATAAACATTTATGGGGGGAGGGAGGAAAATAAAGCAGAGCTTGCGTCTGGGGACAATGAGAGGTCGGGCTATTGTATACATATGTACATGTGTTTGAGATAAAGTGGATTTCAATGAAAACTTTTGCGGTCTAGGAGCAACCTCCGTCTTTCCCTCTACGTCGTATCGCCGTTATAAATTATGATTTTTAACGAGCCTCCGGCGCAAGGATACAGCTTAGACGTGCACATACGCGAGAGCCTTTGATATTGTTACCTAATCTTAGTCCCTCGCTCGAGCGAGAAGGAGAATTACAGTGTGTGTGTATCTGGTCGCGGTATGTGTGTTAACGGGGTCGTGTAGTTTCGTTGCGGGTCTCGTAGCGCAAGGATACGACGGTATCGCCGGTGAGGAGGAATTTCGAGAAAACGTCGCTTCCCGCCTGACGTTTGTTGCATACCCATATTGCGTTTTATGGCTTGTTTTTCGTGCTGTGCACACCGATTCAATGGTCTACCCGTTGCGGAGCTGTAGAAATGATTTGAGCTCCATATTTGCGAGCTGTACGATTTTTCATTGTTCATTAGCCGGTTCTATGCGGTGAATTGTCTTCTACACGGGAAATAATACTAATTTTCACAATTTACTCGTTCGTTTGGCTGTTTATATTTATGATCGTTGACTTTTTTTTTTTTCTGTTACAGGCACAAAAGTAAGGCATTCGAATGGGTATGACTTTTCAATAGGGGGTAAGTGCCCATTTGTATATCTTATCGAACTATCATTACTCATAAACCAATAAAAGTTTCGCACAAAAGCAGCAATTTGCAAAAACACGAGCGCATTAATTTCAAATTCCACGGAGTTGGTTGCCCACACACACACACACACACACACACACATTCTCACGTGAATGGTACAGGCGTATAGTTGTACAACATGCATACAGAAACGGGCTCTTGTTTCTCTAAACCAGCGTCGACTCCGTAATACCGAACCGAACACAAAGTAAACTTTCGCTGCACCATGTAGTCGTTCACTCCTGTACGCACTGTTTGGAGATAATTTTTTGGTTTTACAATGAAAAAAAAAAAAAAAAAAATCACCGCTGGTCGAAAAATCGCTCAACAAATCATAACCAACAGTCTTGCTTATTGTTTTAAAGATATATACACAAGTCCCCGCTCGCTCGATGTTCCTCTTACCCATGACAAAAAGTGCCGCGAGCTCAAACGCGATCGGCCCATTTGCCTCGGGCCACGTTTGCGGCCGGACTGAATGGGCACGTCTCTTGGCCTCTTTTTCCCCGAGTCGGGAAAAATCTCGGGGGGACTCTCGCATAGAGTGGGGAGTAAAGAAGAAGCACTCCGGCCCGATTGGTCCGAGAGGAGTAAGAGCCAAGCGGGGCGCCAAGTGCGCGCACATGAAAAAAAAAAGCGTAAGGTAAGTCGATCTCCCCGCGAAGGGGCCTTTTTTTTCCTTCTCTCCTTCAAGTGCGAGATATGTATTAGGGGAGGGAGAGCGGCAAACTCACGGTGAAATTGAGACGTCTCGACATTATAGAGTCCCGGTAATCGTTTAGGAGAGCAGGTACATCTGCTGCAGCCACTGCACCCCCCTCTCCGCTTAATCGATCAATTGCTCTCGACTTTTTTCTTTCCCCCAATGCCCCGTTTTTTTGTCCAAAAAAAAACGCGCAACCCCTCTCTCGTGCACCGCCTGATTCTCCAGCGCGCCGAATGGATTCCCTACAATGTGTACGTAAATTTATTATGTTTCCAAGGGGGGTCTCTTCGGCTCCTCGTTTTTTTTTTTTTTTTTTTTGCTGGCCGCGGATCGACTCCCGCTTTTGTTGGCCCAGACGCTTCCGGTACTGCGAGGAGCCCCACATGAGAGGGGGGCTCTAAGAGCGAGCTAATAATCCAAATATTTGGTGAAAACAGGGTGCTTTGTCTTTTTTCCCAGGCTCATTAAATCCCGATTCGTACATACGGTATGCTTCCACACCTCTTTATTTTTTCTTCTTCTCTTTTTTTGCTATCTGTCTCCCTGTGCACCGATGACGGATCGAGCGGATGATGAAGTGACGATCGCTTTCGAGAGGATTGGGTGTTATTTATTATTGTCATTCGTTTAACGGGTTTTTTTTTTTTTTTTTTTCACATTTGATCATAGAGAAAAATCCGTTGAAAGTGTACTTTTTCATTCCAAACTGAAACGAGGGTTTTTCAGCGTATCAGGTTGGTGTACGGATTGTTTTTTTTTTTTTTTGTTTTTCGGGTCGAACGATTACGCAGATAAAAATAAACAGAATACACAAAACAAGTCCAACAAAGAGGACTGTATTAATTTCATCAATTTACTCCAAACTGATTTTTCAAACTTATAATTCAAGTGTTTAGTCGAGGGGTTTTTTTGAAGACTTCTGAAATATTTGAAAGACTTAGAATGACTTACGAAGTCTTTTATAATGACTTCAAGAGTGCAGAGGCCCTCGCGTTCATAGCTGTTTGTAACATGGTATTTACGGACAAATTAAAAAACGGAGGTCAAATAAAAAATTATTTATGATGCAAGTTTCTATACATGATTACAACAATATCGATAAGTGTCTGATCAACAATTAAACTTTTCTATCATTACGTGTCTTGTAATTGTCTAACTTGTCAAATGCTTGATCTCATATACTAGCACTATTGTTAAAAAAGTATCTAGTGTATACTCAGATTAACCGTATTGTTATTTGATACAAAACTGTAAAGGAAAAAAAGAAAAAAAAAAACGGACCGCACCTTCGACCAAAACGCAAGTCAAGAAACATCCAAACAAATCCTATCCCGTGAAAAAGAAGCGCATCCAAGAATAATCTGCCCCAGATCAGAAAAGACCGAATCTCCCGCTCCACGTGGACTTTTCACCCGACAGTTGAAACGTGCCCGCGCATCTCCATCGCCACTGTGAGCTCGTTCTTTTTTCTCTCCGTCGATTGCAAACTGCGTACAAGATACAAGATACAGGCTTAGAAACGACGGGACGATCTTCACCGTAACAATAACAACGGTGGCCATACAAAAACGGGCCGAAAGAGGGAGGGGGAGAAAAATAAAAGGGGTTGACTGTACAGAAAGAGACTCCGAAGAGGATCTCTTTTTCCGCATCCGAGGATCTTTCTTTCCGCTCCCCGTAGGTATATATATACGAGAAGATGCGCGCATGAGAAAGCACCCAAAACCTATCTCTGTATCCACTAGGCAGTTTTTTTTTTTTTTTTTTTTTTTTTGCGCGTACACAATACGCAACCCAACGGGGAAAGGAAATATAATAACAACAACCCCATCGATGACGCGATTTTCGTCAACCCCTTCTTCTTCAACCCCGTACTCAGCCGTGCTTGGCTCCTCGTCAATTTTTTAACGATCGGTGGTCGACCTTCCTTATGGGCCTCTAGATTTACGTCTCAAAGGAAAAAAAGAGAGAGAGAGGTATGTAAGTATACAGTCGCGAGTAGGGGGAGCTTTTTTGTACTGGTTTTAACGACCGAGAGTCGCTATAAAATGCAAATTCGCCCTAGAGCGCGCACAATGACTCCCGGGCATGCGGGCAACTTAGATTTCGATCGTAGATCCGCGCAATAATTCGACGCTGCACACACGTTGTACGTACAAGTACATGAATTTGTGATTGTACGTGTGCGACGATTAAACGAGATGGAATGACTTTTTTAAATTAAGCTTAGGGGAAAGAAGGGGTTTTTTGTCTTTTACTGTTGGATTCCGTGATGAAATTGACGTTATGCACGTAAGTAGGTAATGTTACGTATACGTGTAATGAACTGTTTCGTTTTGTTTAGCTCAGAGGCGTACGCGCAATCTTCAAAAATGCCCCATGTCCCAGGTGTGTTTCGGATATGTATACACATATGGCCCTTGGGGCGAATCTGACTCGAATATCAGGGAAAAAAGAAAGAAAACGCGTTGAAAGTGACGTACAAGCTATAGCCGTGCATTTTTCTCCCCGAGTGAGTTTTCATACGTGTTTGCGTATACGAATCACGCTAGACTCCGCAGCTTCTCGAATAGGAGGCGACTTTTACCGCAGTGCAAGAGAGAGAGAGAGAGAGAGAGCGGGAGGGAGGAGAGGTCGGTGGCTGCGGAGCGCGCCCAACGGGTGGTCCGTGTTTCTCTCGTTTTGAAGGATTTTTTTTGAGGCTCCCTTACTCTCTCTCCCTGGATTATATCCTTTTTTTTTTTTTGTACTCCCCCGACTCTCTTTTTACCACCGCTGTATTTTTCTTTTCCTTCTCCTTTTGCCCAGGCCAATATGTCGCGGTTTGAGCAGTTTTGCCAGTATACCATTTGTATGTGTTCGTACGAATGTGCATTTTTCGCCTCGAATCGAAGATTAAAAATGTACAAAAAACGTAAAAAGGGGGGCCTGCAAATGCTCAGGGAACCCTGTATCCGTGCAAACAATAATTTTTTTTTCCTCCCTCCCTTCGCGTTCGAGCGTAACCGGCTCATTTGAGCGCTTATTACAACTGTACCGAGCGGTTCTCGGGTAATGCGAAAAATTCGCGGCACAATGAGATTTTTCGGGTCTCCCCGGAATCAATCGGCCGTGGCCGGGATACCCGAGAAAAAAGAAATGGAATCAGAGTATAACGAGGATTGATGATTCCTCGGACGTTTCTTCGGGAGGCAATTTTCGTAGACCCGAGGGCCAATGCTGAGGTAAGTCACGGAGAG